CTTTCCCTGTCCCCACCTCCCCAAGAACATCTTTGGCCCCGGGATTCTGTAACATTGCTTCCTTAATTGCCTGCATTTCTTCCGAAAAGGATAAGCGCAACTCAGCACCTGCTAATATGACCAGGCTGCAACATGGACACAGGCTTAAGTGACAGCAGGCCCTCCTTCACACCATAGATCCACCTGAGCTGAAGAGCCCATCGGGTTAGTGTTGTTCAGGAACCCTACATCACACCAGGGACTTGTGTCACATCCAACCACCTAGGACTCACTTAGTGAGTGTGGAGTGATCACAGAGCCCTCATCCTCCTTTTTATTTTAAATTAAATTTTGTCTCACAGGCCAAATTAGCCAAATCAGTTCTGAATTCAGAGCTGTGTGGTATTACCACCAGCAAGTATCCTACCTCCCAGACTCTTCATCCTGGGGCTTCAGATACTCCCAAATCCATGGCGGGCATCCTGTGTGCAAGCCCCAAGCCTAGAGGCCTTGGGGGTTCAGGTGCCCCCTAGTCTCACTTGCCCCTAGCCAAAAGTCATAGGAGCAAGCTAGAAGGAAAGCCCAAAAACAATCTCCCACCACCATAAGTTGTGTCGCCAAGATCCTTGCATTGGGAGGCTATAGCAAGTAGACTCTCGTAGGGGTACCTTCCCACAGTGCAATGGACAGGTCTCCACCCTTAACTACACCAAGTCATTCAAGGCTGAGAAGAAGGGGATCTCCCCTGCTAGGTCATTAAAACCACCTGGGCTGAAACCATCATCATGGTATCTCCTAGAGAGGACTAAAAGGCAGTACTAGGGGGGCAATAATAAAGGTCCCTGCAGAGAAGCCAGATTACAAGACACGTGATTGCTGCAGGGAGACCTCGTGCTACCAAATCAGCTGGTTTGACTGGGGGTTGCCTTCAGCATAGGTCCAGAGCAGGAGTCAAACTCCTCTGGAGCCCCCGGGAGGTGCTGTCAGCGCTCTGCCCACATTCCCCAGCACGCTCCTCCTCACAGTTTCTACCCTGTGTCCACCACGTGCAGACAGGATTCTCCCACAATGCTCTTGGAAACAATTCACTCCCTGTAGCACCTGGCACTGTGGGGCAGGCTGCTTGGCATCTCAGAGCCATGCACAAGTGAAGGCACAGCCCGGGGAGAGGGTTGTTTTGCAGTATGGTTATCCTTGAAGGGAGACCTTCAGCCACCTCCTGGGCAGTTCCCCATGTGTCTGTATGTGCGTGTGTGTATGCACATGCATGTGTGCACGTGTGTGCGCAATACAGGAAATA